TAACCACCCTAGTATTCTCACAGATACCCAAGACCTCTTTACAAATTTGTTTCTCAATTTCCTGCTGACCACTGGGGTTCTACAGTATAATCCCAATAAGGTGATCATCCCTTTCTTATTTCTCAGTTCTACCCGAATAAATCTGTACTTGGAGGATATTCCGGGGAATACGTCCAGGGAATTTAACGTTATCCATAATCAAAAACGCCACTCCCTCCTCTCTTGCTCCCCTTTCTATAGCATCTATTCCCTGCAACATTAAGCTGCCATCCTGGAGCCACATCTCTGCAAGTGCTATGACATCTCAGTCCCATGTTCCCAATAATACCCAGAGTTTATCTGCCTTACCTGTTAGGCTTCTTACATCGATATAAATGCAGTTCATCCATCCTACCTCATTCTCTTTGTTCCCGCCTGCCCTGACTGTTTATCTTACTCCTTTTCCTAACTGTATCAGTCCGACTGCTGTTTCCTCACTATCTCACTGGGTCCCACCACCACCACCCCCTTACTTATGAAAGGAAGGATTTAAACTAGTAAAGTCACAAAGTTTATTCAAATCCTCAAAGTGCTTTTCATTATAGTCATAGACCTGAAGAAGCACAACAAAATAATCTCCTTGACTTTGCGCAACCAAGAAAAGCAACACCACGACAACTTAGGTCAACTGCCTTGGTGTTTCTCTCGATGTTACTGGCAAATAATAGCAAACTAGTTTTTTTTAAACTGACTCAGACTCAGAACTGAGTGAATACAGCTCAAGCACTAATCTGTGATGCTTTTCAAAGGGCAAGTCTTATTTACTTCAAAAAACCCAAATTACTTAACGTAGTTGATATGAGTTTCTGACAGGTGTTTGAAAAATGCCATATATTAGGCTTGTCGACAAAGTTGAAGCTCATGCAATAAGTTGGTGACGTATATACAAATTGTCCGATCGACAGGAAACAAGGCAACCAATGTTTGGACAGGAGGAGGCCATAACTTTAAAAGCTGTATCAGCATTTATTGCCCATCCCTAGTTGTCCTTTGATTGGAGTGGTTTGCTAGGATCATTTTACGACGTAGTTAAAAGTCAACCACATTGCTGTGGATCTGAAATCACATGCAACCTAGGTCAGCTAAGGACAGCAGATTTCCCTTCCTTAAGGATATTAGAGAACCAGATAGATTTTTATGACAATCAACTGTGGCTGCCATAAGGCTAACTCTTAATTCAAGTTTTTCTTATTGAATTCAAATTTCACCATTCAAATGCATATACTTAAAAGCATTAGCTTTAGGTTCTGGGGTTCTACTAACAGAGAGACATCATCATGACATGACTGCCTCCCCAGCGTTTCTTCAGGGGTTGGAATCAAAAACCTCTTTTTCGTGAACAATGTGCAGAGTACAATTTTAAAATTTGCAATGGTAAAATCTTTCAAGTACCTGAACAGCAAGGATACATTACAAAAATGATACAGGCTTGTGCAATGAAAAAACGTGCAGCAAATAAAGTTTGATGTCAAGAGCTAAGAAGTCATAGTTTTGATAGGAAGAGTGAGGAAAGAACAGACAGAAAGGATACAGTTCTGAAACAAGGCAGAGTACAAAGGAAGGAGTTATGACAAGCCTTCACAAAATATGACTGAACTAGTATACTATTGTGCCAGAATGGAATACATTGCAAGAACAACACAAAAGTATTAACAGTGGGTGCAGAAAACATTTGAGAATGGTCTCAAGAATTCAGGGCCTCGGTTACATAGAAATACTCAAGAAACTGAGGTTGCTTTCCTCACAGCAGTGAAAATTGCAAGTTCATTTTGAACATGTCTAACAATCATGAGACATCTGTACGACATTGATGGCGAGAAATTATTCCCATTGGCATAAAGGTCATGAAGCAGAAGTCACCAATTTGATATGAAATGCAAATGAACTGAAAATGACATGAGGGAGGACTTTTAATGCATAATTGGTTAAGATTTATTTGCCAGAGAGTGTCCTCGAAGCAAATTCAATTGTGGTTTTCAAAAAAGATTTAGATAACTATCTGAAAAATAAAAAAAAGGAAGATTTTGGGGTAAAAGTAGGGAGAATGGGACTAGCTAATTTCAATTACAGAGACAGCACACACATGTTGTCGATTGGGGTGCAGGTGTACAGGGACTGGATATCCATGGTAAAGATAAGGTGTTGGGGACCCTTCGCTTCTTCCTGTCCCGCGGGCCCGACCAGTCCCCCTCCACTGACACCCTCATCCGCTTAGCTGAACTCGTCCTCACCCTCAACAACTTGTCTTTCAATTCCTCCCACTTCCTACAGACAAAGGGGGTGGCCATGGGTACCCACATGGGCCCAAGCTATGCCTGCCTCTTTGTAGGTTACGTGGAACAAACCCTCTTCCGTAGCTACACTGGCCCTAAACCCCACCTCTTCCTCCATTAATTGACAACTGTATCAGCACCACCTCGTGCTCCCACGAGGAGCTCGAACTGTTCATCCACTTCAACACCTTCCACCCAACCTTAAGTTCACCTGGACCATATCCAACACCTCTCTCTCCTTCCTGGACCTCTGTGTCCATCTCTGGCAACCACCTGGAAACCGATATCCATTTCAAGCTCACCAACTCCCACAGCTACCTAGAATACACCTCCTCCCACCCACGTTCCTGCAAAAAAAAAAGCCATCCCCTATTCCCAACTCCTTCGCCGCATCTGCTCCCAGAATGAGGCATTCCACTTCAAACATCTGAGATGTCCTTGTTTTTCCAACTCCTCGCCCCCCCCGCCCACCCCCACCGTGGTCGAGAACACCCTCAACCACGTCTCCCGCAACTCATCCCTCACAACCCCTCCCCGCAATAACAACTAAAACAGAATCCCCCTTGTCCTCACGTACCACCCCACCAACCTCCGGATCCAACGCATCATCCGCCGACACTTCCGCCATCTGCAATCCGACCCCAAAGACATTTTTCCCTCCCCACCCTTATCTTCTTTCGGGAAGGACCTCTCTCTCCACGACTCCCTTGTCCGCTCCACACCCCTCTCCATGCCCACCACTTTTCCCTGCAACCGCAGGAAGTGCTACACCTGCCCCTACACCTCCCCCCTCACGACTTTCCACATCAAGCAGATGTTCACCTGCACATCTGCTAATGTGGTATATTGTATCCGCTGTAGAGGAGGCCACATCTGCAACATTGGGGAAACCAAGCAGAGGCTTGGGGACCGCTTTGCGGAACACCTACGCTCAGTTTGCACTAAACAACTGCACCTCCCAGTTGCGAACCATTTCAACTCTCCCTCCAATTCCTGAGACGACATATCCATCCTGGGCCTCCTGCAGTGCCACAACGATGCCACCCGAAGGTTGCAGGAACAGCCCCTCATATTCCGCTTGGGAACCCTGCAGCCCAATGGTATCAATGTGGACTTCACAAGCTTCAAAATCTCCCCTCCCCCAACCGCATCCCAAAACCAGCCCAGCTTGTCCCCACCTCCCTAACCTGTCTTTCCTCCCACCTCAAGCCCCACCCCCATCACCTACTAGCCTCATCCCACCCCCTTGACTTGTCCGTCCTCCCTGGACTGACCTATCCCCACCTACACTCACCTTTACTGGCTCCATCCCCGCTTGTCTCCTCTCCACCCATCTTCTCCTTTATCCATCTTCTATCCACCTTCCCCTCTCTCCCTATTTATTTCAGAACCCTCTTCCCCTCCCCCATTTCTGAAGGAGGGTCTAGGCCTGAAACGTCAGCTTTCCTGCTCCTCTGATGCTGGTTGGCCTGCTGTGCTCATCCAGCTCTACACCTTGTTGTTATCACACACACATTGACTGGTTACAGCACAGATGACTGATATATGATAACTTATTTCAGGTCAGTGTGACTACAATTAGATAGAGACGACATCATCAATAGTTCAATCCACGCTAATAGTGAATCCAGGTCTTAGAGGTAAAAGAACCATGGCGCCACAACTGGATCTTACCCCTTCAGTGACACTTCCACGAAAGTACAGTTTGGATAAATAAACACCATGGCTGTAAGTTGTGCTAGCTAGCTGAATGTTTTGACCTATTAACTAATATTATGCATGAAACTTTGTAATCAATTGCACTTTTTGCTTTTCTAAGTCATTGAGTAAATCAGTGATTATATTTGCCAAATTCAATGGCTTCTAATTGCTCCAAAATTGTCTAAAGTAATATTCATGCAAGAAAAAATATTTTAAAGTTCAATTTTAGCAGGAATGTTTTGAAAAAAAGTTATGCAACTGTACAAAACTTCACTGATTAAACAACCAATTGATGTACTATAGCAAGTACTGAAGGGTTTTACAATTGTCACAAATATTAATAGTTTTGAACCAAAACAATCTGCAATTCCAATACCCGTGATTGAAATATTTCCAAACAAAATACCTTAAATATAACAATCCAAAAAGCATCAAACTCGTAAACACAAATTAGCAAACCATTCATGATCCTATTAATACAAGACGTTTACTAAATTTAACAGTATCGCACAAACGGCCAATCTCACATCGAATGCCGTAAATTAGCTCAGAACAAAATCCACGTATTCGTACAATAATGTTACATCATTAACTTTGTTTAGCAACTGTAGGGATAAAATCAACCGGACATCCATCTGCCCACCCAAATATGTCAATTGCAATAAGCAACAAATATCTGATATCCCTATATACTATGTTTAAGTATGGTTACGGCGACCAAAAATGTTATGGATCTCCGGAATTATTGTTTATTTATTAAATCATGTTTAATTTTATCATCGAGGGCACCAATGATATAGGATTACAACTACCCTGATTTTGAAGGCAGCGGCATAAAGAGCTACCATCACCAACAGACAACAAAATTCCATCTCTCGCCATCCACCAACCCACCCTCCCCAACTAAATAACGCCATAAATCCAAACAACTCGCTCAGTCATTTACTTATCGCAAACACGAAACTTTATAGCAAAAATCTGTCTGACCCTGTAGACTGTAACTTATGTTGGTTGCAGCTCATCGCTACCGCAGCAGTCCTGCTCCAACTCCCGTTCGCTCGCAGTATCAACAGGCAATCCTAACCGTCGATCATTCGAATACGGGCTCGAGCGACGGTACACAACGCTTCCGGGTCACGAGAAATCGTCACCTGCCGCCTTTTTGGTATTATCGTGCACCTTGTTTAGGGCAGCGTATACTGTGTTTGTTCGTTGTTACAGACAGTATTGGAGTTGTTTCTGTAATCCACTGCTTGAAACGTGAGAAGCAACGGGTCTCATTTCATCGATAGTTTATGCTGACACTTTCTACTGCCGCGCTAACTTGCATTTAATTTTTCATGGAAACGACTGAACACGCCGTGCCTTATCTGGTTGCGACCGCCACAGATTATTACGGTCATCTGTAGATTGAACAGTGTGGGCAGAAAGTACAACAGGTCAGTTTGTATCTGAAACTAGAGAAAAGACGATTTAAATTTTTGCTAGTGTGCGGCTTGTTTTTGAAATAATACAAGTAGGAGTAGTCAGTGTAAAAGCAAATTAAACTGTAGTTGCTAGATAAAAACCAGAAGAACTGCGGATGCTATAAATCAGGAAGAAAAACAAAGTTGCTGGAAAAGCTCAGCAGGTCTG